AAAGCTTAACCTTATAGGCTGTAGTTATCCTATAGAGTACTTAGATATATCTAATAGTAATAAACAGTAAGAGATACTCTAACTATTTGTAAAACCTGGTATCTAATAGTCCCCCAAAGCTAATACTTATACTTGGTACACGGTCGAGAGTTTCTTTATGGCTATATACAGACAACCTCCCAACGGTGAGAAAACAGCCCGTGACGATGAAGATCTTACCACGACCAATTCTGCCCCTCCCGAACCGCAGCTGACAGAGCAGCCTACCACGTACAACTGCAAGGGAAGCGGATGATGCAGTCTCAGTACCTTCCAAGTCAAGTTCATGCTATCGACTCTTTAATCCGCAACGTCGACAAGAACTACGGCGATGGCAAGGCTCTCAGTGGTAACTGTTGGGGTGATTTAACTGGCAATGGATGCGGTGTTTTTGTTTCGGGTAAGGGATGTGTGCTAAGCGGCAATGAGATGTGGTGGAAGTATCAGGACTTGAGGAATGACGACAAGGGAGGATGCGGCAAGTGCGGACGTATTCATTATGGTGATAGTTGCCGGTTCACCGTTAATTACCAGACCAACTGTGATAAGAGATAATTGACTGCTTTCTAATTCTGTAGAATACTCCTCAACATCCTCCAGATTAGTAGGACTATCTAAATGTTCTAGGCAAAACTAGCGCTAGGCGAATGTTGACCAATTTATGTCCTAACATCCGATTTAGGAGTTACCACCACGATGTAGAACGGAACTCGGACAACAATCGGACTTGCGACATCCCATTAGGCGACGACGCGATAAGCAAATTAAGTGCAAGGAATGTCCGGAAACCATCATCCAACCCGGCTAACCAGGGTCGCAAGTGGCCGGGAAATATATCGAACAACTTTAAGTGTACTTTCAATGGTGCTGCCCGAGCGACCTTTTCTTTTATCCTGTACTCCTTTGTTAATAGACTGGGCCACATTCTAGTGTATGCTTGTATATCCAAGAACACGTAAGGGTAGATTATTTAAAAATTAACATACTTACTACTTATAGTATATTAATAATTTGCTACTTTTCGCTACATTTTTTTATCAGATAAGATAGATAAAATTTTCACTAATCTGTATCTGTAGCAGGTAGGTAGCTAACGCCAGTGCCAATCACGCAAGCTATCACGCAAATGCCGAGCTTTATGGCACTATGGCGACTTGGCGCTATAATCGTACTGCACTTAATTATGTCAAGTCTAGACCCATATTCAAGATAGCCCCGACCAGCCGTACTGCCACTTCTCCCGAAAATGCTATCGTTGAGCTTTATCTCATCACGCAATAGCTACTACCCGGATAAGACGGCACGGTTCTCCCTCGCCATTTCGAGCTCGAATAGCAAGCCCAAAAACGGGGATATGCACTAGACAAGATATATAAAATAAGGATTTCCACAGTAGCTGTTACCTTAGACCAGAGACAGCCAGAGTTCAATGAAATAGTATTTCAAAATGTCTAAAGACGGCCTCGAGGAATCCTATCCTGCTGGAGAGTTCGCGACACAGTCTCCCAAGCGTCAAAGATGGTATCACCTCTTTGGTAAAGATGTCAGTCACGTACCAGTCGATGAAGGCTACTCGACAGGCTCAGAGACTGCATCCCTACAAAGCGACTTGGTTAACAACCATCACAATGTATTTGCTGCTCCTGAAGCCACAGATATCTACGAGATCGTAGATGGCTTTGAAGGTGCCCACCGCTTCGAGCCCTCTGCAACTTGGGAAGCTCACGAGGAGGAGAAGCTGGTCAGGCGGGTATGTCGCTCACGTTGTATGTTCTCACGTACCAGAAATACTAATCTCGATGGTAGCTTGACTGGTTTATCGCACTTCCTGCCTGCATCATGTTTTTTGCTCTCCAGCTGGACCGTGGCAATATTGTTCAAGCTCTTTCGGATGGCATGCTAAGTAAGCTCACAGCCAATAGTCAGTTTTGTATGCTACCATTGCTAATTTGGTGTAGCCGATCTCGGTCTTACGACAAACGATTACAACAATGGCATGACCATATTCTACTGTTCGTTCTTATTCGCAGAACTCCCCTCACAAGTCATTGGAAAAAAGCTTGGACCGGACGTCTGGATCCCTATCCAGATGGTTCTATGGAGTGTCGTGGCAATGTCGCAAGCCGCACTTCAAGGAAAGACAAGCTTCTTCATTTGTCGCTGGTTGCTTGGAATGCTCGAAGGAGGTAAATATTAATTAACGCCGGATGTCTGTCGTTACGAACCCCTTACTTACATACTTCAAGGATTCATCCCTGACACCATTCTCTATCTTTCGTATTTCTACAAGAATGTTGAGCTTCCTAGACGCCTAAGTTGGTTTTGGACATCATACCAAGGCACGCAGATCGTTGGTGCCTTTTTGGCATACGGTATTCTCCACCTTAGGGGCCACAGTGGGTTGCATGAGGGGTGGAGATATCTCTTCTTAATTGAGGGCTCTTTTACTGCACTGATCGGTATACTGACCTTCCTCTACCTACCACCGTCGCCTACTCAGACGGCTCGCACGGGCTGGAAAGGCTTACTGCGACCCAAGGCTGGATGGTTCTCTGAACGTGAAGAGATCATCATGGTCACACGAGTTCTTCGGGATGATCCTGGCAAGGCTACCATGCACAATCGTCAGGGCTTGACAGGCAACCTGATTTGGGAGGCCCTCACTGACTACCACATGTGGCCTATCTATCTCATCGGTCTGTCTTGGGGTATTCCTAACTCGCCTCCCCAAGCATATATCACACTCACTTGCAAGGCTCTTGGTTTTGATACTTTCCATACCAACCTTCTTACCATCCCGGCATACTCCTTATTCATTATCCAGCTACTGTTCTGGACTTGGGTATCCGAGAGAATCAATCAGCGGGTTCTCCTCGGTATCGTCGGCCAACTGTGGATCTTGCCAATGTTGGTCTCCCTGGTCGCTTTGCCTCCCATCTTCCCGGGTTGGAAATGGATAAAGTGGACTCTCTCTACGCTTCTTGTTGGCGCTCCCTACCCTCATGCCATCCTTGTGGCCTTGACGTCTCGCAATGCCGGTTCCGTCCGCACTCGTACTGTTGGCTCCTCGCTTTATAACATGAGTGTTCAAATGTCGAGCATTATATCTTCCCAGATATACCGCAAGAACGACGCACCATATTATTACACTGGGAACAAAGCACTCCTTGGGGTCGTGGGTTGGAATATTTTGGTCTACATCCTTATCAAGGCCTACTATGTCAAGGAAAACAACAAAAGAGATAAGATCTGGGAAGGCATGAGCAGGGAAGAGAGAATTAGCTACCTCAAGACAACAACTGACAAGGGAAACAAGAGGTTGGATTTCAGGTTTGCTTCCTGATTTCTGCTAAAAGCTATTAGCGCTATTAGCTTGTAGTCCAAGCAACGGTTTAGAGAGGTTATTGTTAAGCTCATTAATTGATTTTATCTTGGGCTATTGTATGGCAGGGAGGATACTATGTGAACTGCTTTTATGAGAGTTTTGTTTTATATTATAAGGCCGAATAGCTAATGCTAGAATCGCGCACCTTACCTTAGGTATGGAAACGAAGGTTGAAAGAACTGCGCTAACATGGCCTGATATGTTTAGATGACGGGAGAAGCCCCTCATACTAGCGGAGGAATCGTTAATTGACACAATTCTCTTGAAGTTCATCCTCCACGCAATGTTCTAGGAATTTTTAATTTATCCCACAGATTATAAGTATATTGAGATATATTTATTCTATGGCTATTGAACAGCGTTGACAAAACTCGGGTGACACCTATCAAGAACTGTATCAATATATCATACTTCTCAGACTTACGCGCCATTTCCATTATAGGCAATCAGGTTAGGGCTACCCGATAGGGTACCAGTGATCTTTCCGGAAGTTCCAAGAGCCTTAATTCGGCTTGTAACGGAAGCAGGCGTAGTAAGACCTTCAAGAGCCTTCAGATACAGGGCGAGACCAGCGACATGAGGAGAAGCCATTGAAGTACCACTAATAGAGTTAGTGGCGCTGTTGGATCCGATCCATGCAGACAGAACGCTTTGACCGGGAGCAAAGATATCGACACCAGAGCCTTTTCATAGTTAGTCAGTCACTTTTAAGTTCTAAAAGGGAAAGAGATCAGCATACCGTAGTTGGTAAATGAAGTAGGTTTCCAGGCAGAGGTGAGAGCAGCAACAGTGATGGCGTTGGCTGCATTGGCAGGGGACTGACTGGATACAGGCAGCGGGTTTCCATTCTCATCGCCGTTTCCGGCGGCGACAACGGAGAGGACCCCAGAGTTGTATGCAGCGTCAATAGCAGTTACCCAAGCTTGAGATGCATCACCACCTAAACTATCCGTTAGTGGAATGACTATGAGACGGAAGGATGAACCATACCAAGGGAAAGGTTGATAACGGCCTTGCCGGCACGACCCTTGGAGGTGATATCGTTCACAGCCCAGTTGAAACCAGCGAGTACACCAGAATCGGTTCCCTCTGCTCCCTGGAAAACCTTGACGGAGACAATGTTCGCCTATCCAAGTTAGCAGGAATTTCTCAATACAAAGCCGCGCGTACTGACCTTCTTAGCAATACCATAGGTAGAGCCGGCGATAGTGCCAGAAACATGGGTACCGTGTCCAAGAGTGTCAGTGTTAGCTCCAGAAAAGATACTGTATCCTGCGACGGCGCGGCCACCGAACTGTGAGTGAGAAATCAAAACACCGCTGTCGACAACATAAGCGTAAGTGCCCTCGCCAGCAGAGGTATCATAGATGTAGCTGGTGGAACCGGAGGTGCGGTGGGAGATTGTTCCAAGACCCCAGGGAGCTCCCGATTGGGTGGTCAGGGCCCTATCAGACAGTTCGTTGGATGGCTCGAAGCTGAGCTTAACAACCTTGTCAGGTTCGACGAAAGCAACCTTGTCTCTTGTAAGCAGAAGTCTTGGGTTTCATCGTTGAAGCTTACCTCTGGGCTGGCCTCGATTTCCTTGATGGTGTCCTCATCGAACTGTCCAGCATAGGCATTCCAGTTTTGGATGTTGAAGGTATGTTCGATACCTGCAGTGTCACGCTTAGAAAGGCTGCGGCGATGGACATCACCAACCCACTGAAGGTGAGACTCAACCTTGGCAGAGGAAGCAGAAGACTTGAGGGTGACAATATATTTCCCAGGGATTACGTCTGCGCCCTTGCTGGGTGCAGTGGGAGCAGCAAGAGCAGCAGGTAGCAAAGCTCCCAGATACAGGGCGAGGCGAATGAGACTAGCCATCGTTGACAGAGAGAGAAGTAATTGGAGAAGTAGTGATGGAGTTGATAACGAGAATGGATATTCGGAGCCCAATGGCGACGATTTATAGTTATGTGAAGACTATCATACAACGGTTTCTAGTTGCCGTTCCCATTTCTTGGCAAACTGAGTTATTGGCGGGATATATTGCGCAATAGGTTCAGGACTGGGTCTTGGCTATCTGACTTGGCACAGCTTCCTAAATAGTCTATTGGCCGATGCAGCCCAGAATGGAAGGTCGCACTTTTCAAGAGATCAACAAAGGAACAAAGGAACTATTGTTAAAAGGCCACGGAGAACCGACATAGCCTTAAGCAACGTATCATCTTTCGCAATTATAGTCTCGGAGTGCGTTGTACTTACCCTGATCGACAGACAGCTATTCGGTCATTTAGCCGCCGAGAGGTTTAGAAGTGATGAAAGTGGAGTTTACATGTCGGACTGTAGCCAAAATAGACAGTAATGCTACAGGGGTGTAAAATAACAAGTAAGCTTATCAGTAAACAAGTAAGCTTATCAGGATTAAGTATACTGGATCAACCATTCCTGAACTGGCCAAATGCGTGGTAACGCAGGGCTTACATTCACCTAAAGACTTAGCGCCTTCGCCTAATGGCATGGACTTAAGAGAAGGATATAGATCTTATCTACCAGAAAAGGATTCAACACATAGCAGATAAGGTCCAGGTTGCCACTTTTCGCAATCAGATAGCTGGCAATACCAGTATATGCATCCCACAGACCTAGCTTGTAGTTGACTGGAAATTGGGGGAGGTCTTTCTCTGGGAATGTGTTCAGGAGCTTATAGATCCTATCTCGCGGGTCATGACAGTGGAGTCCTCGGCCCGAAACCTACCAGGCTTGTCCGCTGTGGGCGGCTGATGTATCCGAAGTCTCTTTCCAGCTTTTCCATATGCAATCGCTGAATTCTGACCCCCTCTAGACGTTCTCCAGCTCCCTTTTGTGCTCCTGGATCAAATCGAAAGGTTAAGTCCTGCCAAAGCATGCATTTCATGTCTTCAAGCTTATTGTAAATCTCTGGAGATAATATCCTCTCCGAGTCCCAAAAAACGTACCCAAGTTGCCGCACGCCTGAATAGCGACCGCCCGTGGTGGTGATTGGCTTATACATTATCTCGCCACCCTCAACTGTGTTGAATATAGGGTATCCAAGGTTTCTGCGTAAGGAATCATTCTTCAAAGTTGCCGTTTCTTCACATTGGTGGTCAGGTGGCCACGTTGGCGAATATCTCAGAGCTTCTGGAAGAAACTCGCGGGAAAATCGGCAGTTTGACCGAATCAACTCAGATCGTCTTTTTCCAGCAGTACAAAGATCGTAGATAAAATCTAGACCCAATGAAGTCATATAGCTAATATTATCCGGAGAACGGTACCTACCCTCTTTCGAAAATAACGAAAGACTAGTTTGATCCAGTGCCGTAAGTTCGACAAGGCTATCCCGCTCGAGCTTCCTTTCCACCTTATTCTTTGTCTCTTTCTCTGCTTCTGATTCGGGTTCAGAGAGCAAAAGCCATGCATGTGTCGCATAGTTATCAACAGTAGACATGAACTGACTCTCAAGCTCGTCGATGTAATCCCTTATCATAAGGGTGACGTATAGCTCGACGCAAGCTATCTCTTCCACTTCCCAAGGTGAGAGACGACTTATAAAGAGATCAAATTGCTCCATAGAAGAGAACTCATCGTTTGCCGAAACCGTTTCGACGGGAAAAGAATTGTCAGCTGGAAAGACGCGACAGTAGATCTCAAATCGGAGAAACGCCCTCTGTAGTCGTATGCATTCTGTTGAATTGGGGATAAGAATCGAGTCGACAAAGCCAAGCCGGTACATATACTCCGTATAACAGGAAATCAGGAATGTTACTCGGTTGTAGAGTCGGCAAAGCAACATAAGCTCTGCTTTTCCGGTAGGGAAATCGAAAGACCAAGAGGGATCAAAATAGTTTTCAAGAAACTCAGGTACTGTACTCTTAGTTGCTGGTGAGGGATTTTGCAGGACAGCAAGAAGATGCTCCAAGTTGACCGTCGGTAAAGAATTTCGAATTACGGATGACAGAAAATCCTGGGGTGTTTCGGAGAAAACCCGCAAGCATAACGGCGACGCTGATATCATATCATGGAGCCCGCGAGGTGAGTCGATATTTTGTAGGATGAGAGAGACAAGTTCGGGCGCCAAATTCTCTAGCGCCATCGAAGGATAGACGATCAAAGCCACCTTGTTTGGTTTGCTAAGTTTTCACCTACGCTGATATATAAAGATTTGGCAATCTGACATGAGAACGAGGAAAACGCAGCGATTCGAGCTGATCCTTCAGCGTCACGTGGCAGATGAGGGGAAGATAAGTGAGGCTGCCGCATCAATACTAGCGTTAATGAACGACTGTAGCGGTATGGGCGGAAAGGATGATCAAGGTAATATGAGCCACATAACAGAAAGGTAACATAAAAGATACGAAGGACTACTTCTTTATATCTACATCCACTGCTTGTTTCCAAACTTCGAGACAAAAGCCCCACTACTCCCTTTCTCCAAGGAGGCCTCATTCATGACTTTCAAGACAGCTTTGGCCGAGTCAACAGGGGCGCTGGGGCCCTTGAAGTCCGGGGCATAATTGACAAACTTTCTCCCGAGCCTGTCTACCTTTTCTTTCTGCTCTTCGGTCACTGTGCAGCGTCAGAATTCTCCAGCATTGTAAGCGTCACTGCTACTTACGCTCTCCTTCGAAACCACTATCGACACTTCCAGGACAGATACTCATGAAAAGAACCCCTTCTCTAGCATAGCGAGCAGCAAACTTGGCGGTGAGAACGCTTGTGCCTGCTTTGCTGATGGCGTATGCAGGACCTGGCTCAATTTCAAATTGACGAATGAAATCAATGTCGGACATGCCGGACGAGATGGCAATGACCTTCTTGCCTTGTCCTTTGAGAACAAGGGGGATAAATAGGTTGAACAGATGGAAGTTTCCAATTACGTTGACGTTGAATGAGTTTCGGAGATCTTTGACCAGATGTTCGGGGTCTTTGGCTCTGTTACATTATGAGACATCATTTTCATAAAGCCATAACACGGACAAGTCAAGGGTTCGACCTACAGCGCATCAACAGCATCCCACTGGGACCACAATGGGATGAGACCTGCATTCGCGATGATGAAGTCGAGGGAACCTCCAGCAATCTCCAAGACGGCCTCAACGGCATCCTACATACTGGTCAGCGCAATGTGAAATGATTTCAAGTGAGACGTTAAACCTTCAATGCATGGTAGTTGGTGATATCCGCCTCAAGGGTATAGACGTTATTTGGAGAACCAAGTTCTTCAGCAAGCTTCTTGTCAGAGGCCACTTTGTTGCGGACTAGACCGATGACAGTATTATTGGGGTCGCTGGAGAGTACTTGGATAAAGCCGAACTGAGAGGAGCGGGGTCAGTTGCAGGGTAGCTATAACGAGAAAGGATCTAGTCAGACTTACGCCAAGACCACGCGATGCTCCTGTTACTAAATAAGAAGGCATAACGATTAAAGTGTTAGTCAATATGGGAGACGGACGTCTAGGTTTTGATGGGCAGGAACGGTAAATTTCCTCAGACGAAGGTAATATTCTTTTTCAAACCCGTTTGCATATAAATGTGTCGAACGTGAAATGATAATTGCCAAGTAGACTGATGATAAATCATGTCTGTTCTGTTAATTAAATTAAGCCTCCCGAACCCCCTAGCTTGCGCAAAACTTGCCCTATGAAGTATCCCAACACAAGCCTCATTAATAATGCTGATGAGTTCAGACTGGTGCTTCCTTCTTACGTCCTTGTTCTGATTTTAAGGTTCCACTCCTGGCACGACAGCCAACACACGCGCAACGCTAACCCCATTTGTCACCATGCCCAGACTTTTATACTGAGTTATTACTAAGAAAGATTTCGTAATTACAAAGCAAAGCCAAATAACGTTAAATGTAAAATAATTAAAGATGTTATGTAAATTAGATTCTTGGTATTTGTATTAAGTAAAGAACATGCCTACTTAGCACTGCTCTTGAACAATGCTTTTTGCCCAGCCTGGGTGCAGTTAGGTCCTGGTAGTGCGGGGGTGACCGAGCAGGTTGGCACCTGGCTGGTCGAACCTTACGCAGAGATAGCGCAATAAAAGTGTATATAAAGTAGGTGCTTAGCACCATTTTGTCTATTATCCTCGTAACCAGAGCCTGCTAAATTCACTATTGCTACCACTTTATCTTATACCTCTCTATCCTTTCTTAATAAGGAAAAAATGTCTCAAGGCATATATGTGCTTATTACCGGTTGCAACCGCGGTATGTTCTCTCAACGCACCGTATTCTGTTTCTATTCATCTAATCACGTATCCAGGCATTGGAAGAGGCATTTTTGACAAATATATCGCTCGCCCGGACCATGTAGTCGTCGCCGCTGTTCGTGATCCAACAGCTAAAAGCTCAGAGGAATTGTTGCATGCCACTAAGGGCACTGGCAGCAGATGCATCCTGGTAAAGATTGATAGTGCTTCCGAGACAGACTCTCTGGCAGCCGTGAGCACTTTGAAGCGAGAACACGGTATTGAGAAGCTTGATCTTGTCATTACTAATGCCGGGATCTCCAAGTACTTCGGCACAGCAGAGGTGACCCCATTCAAGGAAATGATAGATCATTTCAAGATCAATACCGTGGCACCACTACTGTTGTTCCAAGCAACCTGGCCCCTCCTCCACACCACGAAAGCACCAAAGTTCGTATCAATCTCCTCAGGTGCAGGGAGCCTTGGGTTCATGGAAAATCTGAAGGTCGAGAATACAGCATATGGCTCTTCTAAAGCAGCTCTTAACTTCATCACGAGGAGGATACACTTTGAGAACCAGCATCTAGTGGCCTTCAGCATCAACCCTGGATGGCTTCAGACTGATGTAAGCAAACCCCGGTCACTCTGGTTGTGTCTCGATCTGACTCATAACAGCTTGGGAATCACGCTGCACAAAGTTCAGGGCTATCAGCGGCTCCTGTGTCGGTACAGGATGGTGTCGATGGAATTGTCAGTGTTATAGATAGCGCAACAAGGGATGCGACATCGGGGAGGTTTCTTTCGTGGGAAAACAAGGAGATCCCCTGGTAAAATGCGGTATGAATAGGTATTTAGACCAGAACATAGTTTATCCCGACAACTTGATACATAAGATACTAGATATTGATGGAAAAATAGTGCTGTTATACTCAAAGAAGCGACTTGACCGAATCAATGACTGTCTTCTTATATGGTATCTAATCGATTCCGAGAATTGTGTTTCCCGAGTGGCATCATAGCCAAAGGAATCTAAAGCTGGGTTTGGGTTGCCTCCTTTATTGGCCTCATCCGGTAGCCTATCTCGTAGATCAGGGAAGTTCTCATACAGAATTCCATATAACTCCTGGTTACTGTAATACCCAGCAGTGATAAAGATGCGCTTGTTAGCTGCCTCTTCCGTCTCTACAGCCTTGACATGGGCCAATGCTACGTCACGGACGTCAACCCAGAGAGGTAGTTGAGTTGGAGGAAGGCCGCTCTTATGCTTCCCGTTGATGATATCAGCCAGTAGCTGGTTGGATGTGTTGACGGAGTCGAGAGACTTGACTGGGTACTTGACCGGACCGTAGATCATCGGAGGACAAATTGTCGTAAGAGAGAAATCAGGTTTCTTATCGGACATGAAATCCCAAGCAGACTTCTCAGCAAATGCCTTGGATGCAGCGTAGGCAAGCCCCGGGTTAGAGTAAGCATCTTCCGTAGTAAGAGGACTCCAATCGGCCTCAGTGTACGTCTTATTCGCACCGGTGAACGACAGCTTAGGGTCCAGGATCGCAGCAAAGGATGACGTCAACGCAACTCGTCGAACGGAGGGACAAGTCTTGTGAAGAGCATCAAGCACTGAAGTTGTGCCGAGGACAGCGGGATCGATCAAATCCTTTTTGGCGTCTGTGATATTGTAGTGGAACTAGACAAAAAGGGTTATTCTCAGAAGCTCGGAGGGTAGTCACGAATTCGCAATTGACTCACAGGACTGGCGATGTGAATGGCCGCTTCGAGGCCATATCCACCCAAGCCTTGGAAGGCATCTTTGGCAGCAATATCGGGGACGATAGCAAAGTCTAGCTTCTCTTCACCAACGCCTTGGAACTCATTGCGGATGGACTGGGCCTTTTGCTCGGAGCGAACAGTAGTCACGACGCTGTGGCCATGTTTGAGAAGGGCATCAATTACATGTCCAGCGACGAAGCCGGTGCCACCTACACCGCGCGTTAACCACTAAGACAGGTTTTGTTAAATACTCAGTTAGACATACCTGTGACGAGAACTCGAGTCATTGTGAGTGAGACGGGATAATGTTACAGCTTGGTGGTGATTGAAGAAGCTGATGATTGTAATTCAGGCTTCTGCAAGGCGTGTCAGACTTAAGTACATGTCATGATACAGCAATGAATCATGTGTCTAGACTCAGTCCGGCCTTCGGTTTGAAGGAAATGCCGAGGCGGAGCATCCATTTCACCTGTGACTTTTTCGAACCCATGACTAGCCTCAACGAGACTACCCTCGGCCCGATTCTCTTTTGATGGAATTTGGGCAGGCTTGTTTACGAATACTCGTATTGGATGGACTTAAACCTAATGTCCGGACTCATGTAATATGCTTGCAGACTGTCTTATGCTGCTGTTGCATAGCATCCGGCCATTGCCCAGATAGCCCAATAGTCTATATCCAGTCGTTTCTTCGACAAGTCAAGCACATCCCTCGCTATCCGCATATTACCCTTCTCTGCCATATGCTCTAGTATTCTCCAAATCCATTCCTGCACGCAAGCGTCCGTTGACAGCTGAGCAGCTTGATAAAGAGGTGCCATTAGTATCCTGCACTCTAGCTTCTGCATCTGCGTGAAAAGCTCAGAATTCTGTGGCCGGGCTTGTGGCATGATGCAGTGCGTAACTGAGCGACATATCTGCTTCGCGATCTTATTGATCACATCACCGTTGTTCTCGTGGAATCTGCCCCTTAACAATCCTTCCATCTCTAAACGCATCATCCTTACAGCGTTATGTAGTTGCATTGTGAAGTGGTTCGGGTAGACATCGTATTCTCCGTCCAAGGTTTGCCAATCGCTCCAGAAAATCGTAACAGGCCCGCAAGACCTTTCCAACGAGTCTGCAAGACACTCAAGCCTGTAGTTTATGTCCAGAACCCTCTCATTCATCTTGCTGCCGTCTACCATGATCCCGTTTGTCATCAAAGCCCTCAGGTTGACAATATCCACTAGGATTCTCATGTAATCCCACTTACTATCCCTGATCAGCCCTGAAAGATCCGTCCAGACAGCGACTTGCGAGTCAGTGATAGGGGTTTTGGTTATTCCACAACTAATGATGAATTGTGACAGAATGTTTCTGGCGATTTGAGTTGATAAAGCACTTGCAAAGTTCAACTTTCCCCGTGACTCGATGATTGACATTGCCCCTCGGATATGGGTCATTGAAGACCCTGGCATGCCAAGACTAGGCGCTGTCAGCTTCTCAAAAAGATCAAGAAGTATGATTGACTGCAGAATATCATCACCAATCAACACGTTCGGCTCGTACAGCGAATGCCTGAGATTCCCTATGGCAGCCGAATATCTGTTCAAGGCGGTGCTGATTAGTTCCCGGCTGTCGAACTGTACTGCCGAGAACGCAAGGCTGACTACATTCACACTGTATGCAAGGTGTTTTGAGATTGGGGCCTGGTTGTATAACGGCGGGAGACAGGAGCAACTCCGTGATAAGCCGGTAACGTAGAGCAGGAAAAAAGTATTTCTGCACCGCGTCTCGACGTCCAGATTCAGGTCCAGCATGGGCGAAGGCCACGTGTTGAGCTGATACGCATATCCTTGGCGGGCCACCACCTTTTGCCTGGCTACACGTGTTTGGTCACGGAATGCCAGGTCCTTGCCATTCCGGTAGCCATGGCATAAGATGTTGGCTCGTAGACACTGGCTACAGGATTCCGGTTTCAGGTCGCACTTAGGGTTAGATGTCAGCCAGTCTAATACAGAACTAAATTGTCCAATAGGCATACTCGGAGCTTCCGTCGTCTGCAAGGCAGACAGTCCCTCGAAGGTTGGCCGGTGTTAACCATCTTGGATAACTACACATCCCCACTCTGGGCTTGTTTCGAGAGTGGTGCTGGAAGAGGATCCTGGAATGCGGCCAGGCGTCGGCAGTAGTAGGGACAGGAAGGGTGGTAACCCTAGATAACTGCAGGCAGCTTAATAAGACTCCAGTTCACGGTAGTAGGGACAGATAGAGGTGCTATGACTCGAGTGCAGCTGAGGTGAGCGCATGACAAGAACTGCAATGGATAGTACGAGCCACCAGAGAAGAAGAGGAAGAAAAAGTCAGTATCCAGTCGAGATTATGCAAAATCTCCGCTCATAACAAAGCTTGCGCATCAAGAGAAGGGTGTTGCCCAATGTTAACCGCTAGAGGTTTAGTCTGTGGAGCTACAGATAAGCCTCCTGGTGTGCTCCGGATGGCTAGCCACAAGAGGTTAATAAGATCAGCACAGCCTAAACTTAAACATTCTAAGTTCTGTCCGCTGGGTTAAGCTCTTAGCTACAAGTCTTAACTGTAAATAACACATCTAGCTTATAACTATTATATTAAATAACTAACTAATTACTATAGCTAAAGGCTAAAAAGAGAAAAACCTAGATTATAACTCTTTAGCTAGCCTTAAAGGTATATAAGATACTTTAATTTATTAGCTAAGAAAGGTTAGCTTAATATTATAAATACCTTAAATCTTTAAAATAGTAATTCCTATATTAATAAAAAAAATCTTTACTTAATATTTACTTTTCTAAATAGTAGCTATTAATAATTATATTAATAAGGCTATAGTTATACTATAAGCTATATCTTAATATAAAAATACCCTTAAAATTATAAATAGTTATAAAGACCTTAAAATATACTTTAAAAAAGCTATATTATTAATCTA